TCACCGATGATGACGTAATCATTGACGCGCCGTCGTCGACCATGAGCCTCAGGGCTGGATCGGGTCATTTCCCATCAATCAGTTTTCTTATTCGTGAAAGCCAACTGGCGCTTCACCACAACCTCCTGATTTGACGCGCATCTGTGATGACTTCCCTTGGTAGTATCGATGCTGGTGCGGAAGGATCAGCCCGGAAATAATACGCATGAGTGCGGATAGCACTGTGGCTTCCACCGCGAACCATACTCAGCATTTTGGTAGGTTGGGCAAGGCCAAGCATAGCGTGCTCAGTAGCATTCGTATCCGTGAACTCCTCAGGCAACAACCCGATATAGAGACCATTAGCCACTGCAAATTTCGGTGGATTGCGTAGACGTTTGTTCATTAAAGACTAGAAGCACGGTTTACAGATATATAACTCGCGTCCTTCATTCTCTATTCCCATCGGAGACACCAAAGCATTTCTCAGAGCTGGTATTTGACTTGAAACGTCGTAGCATCAAACCAACCCTTCATGAAGGCCCTGAGGCGTTTTTAGGCGCCGTTTCATTGCTTCTAACAGTAGGGGGAAGTGTTTACAGTTTTTCGAAGTACGTCAGCAACTGGGTGCCAGCAGTCGCAAACACAACATACGAACTCCTGAAGACACACGTTTGACAGCTGCCGCGCGCACTCTTGCTGTACATGTTGCAGTGTTTCCTTTGAGACAGGGTCTGGGAATGCACTTTGGTCAACAGTATTACACTTGGCACGCTTTCGTCGATTTCTCTTTCTCTCCGAGGCTAGTCGCTCCTGAAGGGAATTTAGTTTTTTTGATTAACCACGGGACAGGTCAACGTTTGGATCAACTTTTTATCTGATAAATTACGTTAATTAGTAACGAATAATGTTATTCTTGTACTAGAGTTGTTCCAATTTTTTTATCCTTCGAATCGATTTTTTTTTTCGGATCAAACACGGGAAGGGTCAACTTTGGGATCAACTTTTTATCCGACGATTTTTCTTGAAAAAAGAAAAATAATCGAATTTGTATATAAAGTTTGACCCAATTGTTGATCCATTGAGTAAGAAAATTCCTGTGAAACTTAATATACGCTTTAATAATAGGATAATTTGGACTGACTACTCTGTTGATTTCCAAAGATGGTCCGGCGCTCCAAGAAGTGTCCGAAGTGCACCTTCGCGGAACATGAAACGCCACCAGGACAAGGTGAACGCCTGTGGGGCGCAATTTGTGAAACAGCGGAAGGAGGTGGCGAAGCGAAAGAAGTCGTACCGTAACAGGTACGACTACCTCTAGCGTGTGGGCCGTCTACACGAGTACCAAGGACCACCACCTCCCTTAATCGAGACACCACCAACGACTCTGCCCCCACCTCGTCGATCGGCGTGTCGATCGACGACTGTCGTTGACTCGTCAAATGTCGTCCCAACCGTCATCGGCCCCATCACAGCCAACGTTCACTATTACGCGGACGAGCACCAAGTCGACGATTTGGACGACTTCTAATAATTCAAATTTTGGTTTCTATAACATTAATATAGAATTATTTTTTTGTCTTGTCAACGCAATATTCAAGTTGTACCAAAAAAATTATAAAACAAATCAGATTATTATAAATATTCCTAAGTTTATTTTTCAAAATTATGCACCATTTAGGTGCTGAAATTATACTTTCTATTGCTGAAAATTTACGATTCGTGTCTGAAAGCTATCCATTTTCTGCTGAATATCTAGTCTAATGCTGACAAACATTTCAATACTCAAAGTAAGTTATTATCAATGCTCATAACTGGTAAATATTTGTGTATTAGATGAAATTTAAATTTCCTATTATCTATAGTTAAATTCCTAATTGTATATGTAAAAATCCTTCAGCCTGAGCTTACAGCACCACAGAGCGTTAGTACTTGGGCGACATGGATTGCACAGAAGCCAGTGAAGCCGCTTCGCTTTCGTCAGCGCTCGAACCCTGCTCTTGGTTTAGGGAAGTGCGGGCCCTGACACGCCTTGGAGTACTTTGTCTTCGGTTGGCGATATCCGACAGTGCGTTGACGTACCGCTGACTTTCTTGCTCTAGAACCACGACGAACTTTCCCATATCAGGATGTTGACCACCCATGGCTTCATTGAGGGTCATGTTGTACTTCAATCTTCGTCTCTTCATCGCCCATCTTCACTTCTTCGTCGGCCGAAAGTCGTTCGTCTTGACTGCTGCTGTCGGAACTCCAAATTTCAATTTCCACTGAATCTTGAGAAGACTGGGAGTTGAGAATGATGCTGAAATCCATAGCTTGACAGAGGACATTACGAAGTGTTGGTGCTGGTTGGTGAATTGAAAAGTGTCATCGTGCGTAGGCATCAAGACGGACGTTTAACCTTTAACTATTTTTAAAATATGTAAGATATTCTAAGAATATTAATGATAAGAGTTGAGGTTGAGAAGCTACAAATAACTTTTATTGAGTGAGATCCTTCTGTTAGATTATCAAATTTGTAGGAGCAATCCTAAGTATAGTTTTTTTATGCCAAGTAGTTATTTAGGGGAAAAGAAAAAAAAAATAATGTTCTTGGCAATTTTTGTTTTTGATCCAAAACTTGATCTCTGAAGAGTTGATTCAAATAGTTGATCCACAAAACATTGTTCCAACAGTTGATCCTCAACACGGACCAAAGTTGATCCAAAAGTTGACCTGTCCCGTGGTTGATCCAAAAAAAGAATATCGAATGAAGCTTATATATTTCGCTCTAACAAGACCAGCGACCACAAAGCTAGGGAAGAATAACTAAAAACAGCATCATGAGTAGAAAGACCTATGTGCACCGTTTGTGAGACTTTTAACTCTTCAAGATCATATTGGCTCCCTCACAGATTGGAATCCAGTCAACAGCTTTAAATCTAACAGGGCATAGTATGGTGTTGATCGAATGTACGGATATATTCATTGGTACAGGATAAATTAATGTATGCGATAAAATACTACATATCAGTTTTTTGTCTTGGTCGTTTGCGGATGGGTCAACATTCTAGGATTTTATTAAAATCCAAGAGGGTGTATAATACATGTATAACTCTCTATATTTTTGATCTGGTCGTGCATTTAGACGGTGTTTTATGATTGAGAGGATTCTGACCTCATTGCAATCCCGCAGAATATAAAATCCAGAGAACTAGGAAACAGAATATCAAGGACAAGTAAAAAGATGGTTCAACTTGTTGAAGCTGTCTTGCTTCTTCTTCTTCACATAATGTAGTGCAGCTTCTTGGGGTGACGTCGCAGCTTGCCGCTCTTGATCAGCCGCACCACCACACTGTTGCTCACTCCAAGGGCCGTCGAGAGTCCTCTTCCCGTCATTCGGCGCTCCGCTGGCACCGCCGCAATGCGAACCTTGAGCTCCTCGTCCGGCACCTTCGGTTTCCGCCCTGAGTGGCCTTTGATCCGACTGGCGACGTTGCCTGCCAGTCCGTCCGTCGTACTTGAAGCCGTGTGCAGTTTCCACAGCCGACGGATCGTAGCTCGGTGCACCCCAAAGTAAGTGGCAGCAGCCTTCATATCCCCGTGCTTGAGTCGTCCTCCAGCACTGTTCGCTAATAGATAGTGGACGATTGCCACACGTTGCTGGTCTGTGAGATTTTTCCGCTTATCTTTGGGCGACTTGGCCGACGATTCCACAGCTAACGTTTCGACCGGGATTTCCAAAGCAACATCCTCCAGTTTGGGCGGCGCTTCCAGTGGCATTTCTGGCAATTTAGTAGGCGCCATCACGGGTATCTCTGGCATAGGGAGGGCCACTAGCGCCATCTCTGTGGCCTGCAGGGGGGTGGGCATCGGAAGCGCAGGCGTCTCGGTCGCAGGGGTCTCCATCTCGGACTGGTCGACTATGTTTGCCGCCTTTTGTTCTCGATCAGTGCGTTTTCTCCTTCTTTTCATCCAACCAAACAGCTTTATTTCATTATTCTAGCCAATCAAGAGCTGTTTGGTGCAATCAAAATGTACGGAAATGGTACAATCAAATTCACTGGCTCCCAAGATGGCGGATGCCTACACGGCGTACGCAACGCAGGTGTCAGATGCGCTGCAGACGCTATTAGAGACAACGGGGGTGAAAATCGAGCCTCCGGTGGAGTTCGTGTCCTGTGGAGAGGGTTTGAACGAGCATTTCGTGCCGAAAGCGTCATTGGAGAGGCATTTGGTGGGATCTGAGTGCGTAGACCTAGTGGATCTTTGGTATTGACACTTTGTCCTGGTACTGCATTGAATATCCATAGTGGAAATGTCATGGAAAACGACGGCCTGCCGTCGTCAACAATGCAGCTGTAAGGTGCTTACTGCAATATCTTGAAGTAATATTTGAAGAAGTATCCAAACTGATACCTTGAGGACTTGCTTGGCAGTTCTACTATGGCAGTCGCAAAGGAGAAAATGCTGTCAGCACAGAGAGCAGTGGAGATTTGGCAGAAGAGGGGGCTGTAGAGGTCACAGGATTACAGAGTTTGGTGGAGCGAGAAGCTGACGGACAGGAAGACCAAGGTGGAGTGGTCGCTGCAATTCAAAGCTCTGCAGCTTCTGCAGCAGCATTTTATCAACAAGTACAAGCGTGGACGCGTATCCCGAAGGCATTTGATACGATAAAAGACGAGGAGCGCCAACTGGTAGCGTCTTCGTCGTTACACCGGTGGCTGAATGCTGAGCTGGGTCGCCCTGGAGTACTACCTAGTGGTGACGCTCTCGATGAGGAGCTCGTTCAATATATAGCTGGGCTGCTGGATCACCCAGACTTTTGTCAGCCCGACTTGTTGGCTTTGGAACTTCACGAGTTCCTTGGCAACAACGTCACGGTGAGTATGTACATGGTGATAGCTTTAAGGGGCTTATCTTGCTGACAATGACTTGCTTTCGTCACCAGAATATCGTGCTCGCTCTCTGGAAATTTATGATCGTCGAGATCGGACTACATAGTGTATTCGTACGTGTCTGTGGCAGGCATTTTTATTGGTAACGTTAACTTTTACTGTGATTGGATTCAATAGAAGTTGGAAAAAAGTGAGACGTCGAACAAGATACAAGTGAATTCTTCAGTCACTAGTCAAGATCCGGCGCCAGCAGTACCAACAAACTCTCAACCGGATGCAACGACTGAGCGCGATTACAAGCGTCGACGTGCTTCGTACAGAGGGAAGGTGGGCACGAAGACCGGTCCTGCAGCATACCGCGAAATGATTCAAAAGCACATGGTCGGGCTCAGTCTCGACATGGATCGTGAACTTATACTTGGTGGTGGATTCCGTGAAGACAAAGGCGGCAGTGAATCTAGTAAAGCCCGCCCAACTCGCCGTAAAGCCGTGGATTGGCGTAACTTCACCGATGCCCTTGAAGTGCGCAATCGAAGCCGGCAAAGGCGCCAAGATAGCACAAAGGGTTTATCCAGATCTAGATCCAGGTCAAGAGGGCGATACAGCACAAACGACAATGCACGTCGTCAGAGTTATACAAGTCCTGAAAGGAGGAGAGACTCCAGTCGTCACCGCAGGAGTAAAAGTCGAAGCCGACGTAGAAGTCCTCGTCGACAAGACCGCAATGACTCAAGGCACCGCAGAAGACGAAGCCTCAGCAAGGACAGGGGTCGTGATCGTCACTGATGAACTGATTCAGCGGACAGGAAACCAAAAAGCGATGGTTTCGAGTATTTATGCTGAAAAGAAATGTATAAATACTCAAATAGCAGCGACGTTGTCAGCACAGCTTTCTCGATGGGAATGGCACTCTTCAAGTGTTCTCGTGCAGCTCAAGATCTCCAGACAACATCAATAGCATTATGTCGCGACAGGGCAAGCCACCTGGAGGTAGTTCGACTATGGGCTCGCTGATATTTGGTGGTGACGACAATCAATCGTCCTACCTTGACGACCGAAAATCGCGTCGATTTAATCCTCATCAACCTGAAGCTCCGGAGCATGGCAATAACGACATCAAGACGCCCGATGCAGGAGCTGCGGAGCTGTCGTACTACGCCAAACCGACGGCTGCACAGGAACTACGTGATCGCGTTGCAGTTGCACCCGGAGCTGTCTCGTGGGAAACGCTGCAACAAAACACTGCAATGGCCGTAGTTCGACGTGGCGATTACTCGGGCAGTAGATCGGACTACTTTGCGAACGGAATGGGAGGCCAGGGCGGTGAAAACAACCAGCAGCGACGTACTCGTCGTATGTTTGGCACTCCCAGCGGAAGCTCTTCGTTTAAACTAGGCTAGATAGGCAACTATTCAGGTTAGAATAGGCTCGGGTGTTTCTATCCGGATAATCACTTCAATTTCAATCACGGTGTCCCTATCAATAGTTCATGTAGCTAAATAGGAATGAGCTTCGTTAGTGTTTCTCATTAACTTTTGGGTGTCTGGGGGTATACAACTCAACGCTCCTTATTGGAGCGATGGGCGCCATTATGTCGAGGAACTCGGTGGTTCCGCACCAGCCTCTCTCCGTTGTCACGGCTACTGCAGCCTCACAAACAGGGAAGGCTACGAAAAACAAGCATCACAAGTTTAACACGCTGGTGCCGGAGCCTAATTCATCGAGTCAACCACCACAAAGCACCTCTAGAACATCAACTAATGAACACTTAAGTCGTGCAGATCTCCGTGTGCAGTTCCTTAAGGCTGTGAAACGTGGAGACGTCACTGCAATGGAAGACTTGTTACAACGATATCAACAGCTAAGACCATGGGGTCCAGAATCCCGCGAAGACGAAGGTGAAGAAGGAGCCAACGAAGAGCTGGTTAATATCCGAGGAATGTGGGAGAGCACGCCGCTGATATCCGCCTCACAATACGCACACTGCGAAGCTGCTCTGTGGTTACTAAGCCACGGAGCTGATCCTCACGCTAGCAACGAGAAAGCTGTGACGGCTCTGTTATTAGCAAGTTTGGAAGGACTGACACCCGTGGTTGTACAACTTCTGGGGACAATGAGACCACAGATTAATACTTTAGCTATCGACAAACAAATTGGCGTCGTGTACAATTCCGCTGCAGACGTCAATGTGCGACTTAGCCCGTTTCTTGCCGCAAGTATGAATGGCCACCGTGAAATTGTTCGACTGCTTCTTGATCATGGCTCAGCAGTGAACCAACATGTGGCGATCACGGTAGGCACGGGCACTACCTCTTCAGGGGGATCTACTGCTTTACTGCTTGCTTCGCGGTATGGACATGCAGGGGTAGTAACTTTGCTTCTTGAACGAGAAGCAGACTATGCCTTGCTGGACGGAGCAACTGATAGCTCAGCATTGTTATTAGCATGTGAGCACAGCCACGAGGAGTGTGCCATGCTATTGCTTGAAGCAATGACGGATGGACATAAAACTCAGCGTTCCAGTGATACCGAGACTGAGAAGTGGCAAGCTGCTAATCACCAGGGCTTCACACCTTTGCACTTTGCAGCCGTGAATGGATTGCTTACCGTGTGTAAGGCCCTATTGTCAGTTCTAAAAGCGCAACAGCAGAATCTGGAGGATGAAGTTCTGGCAACAGCTTTCGTCAACGCCCGAGCTGGAGCTCGACGCGAGAGTGCACTGCTCCTCGCAGTTCGGAAAAGACAGCACCAAGTGGCACGTTTACTATTAGAAGCCGGTGCCGATGCAGAACTCGCTGACCGTGGCGGAAACACCGCAACGCAAGTGTTAGCTCGCAACAAGCAAGAGGCGTTGCTCCAGTTGTGCGAAGCTGCCACAAGCAAGTCGCAACGCCAACTGTCAAACGAGTCTCCTACTGTTGAAGATGTGTTAGTATCTACCGACCGAGGATCAAGCAAAGAAGAAGAACTTCGACGAGCAGAATCGAATGGTGCGGAGGGCCCTGACCCTGCTGCCACAGATATGTTAATTGATGTCGATCAACGGTAAACGAAGGCGTTCTCTCTCAGATAACTATGCTCCTAGGAATTGTAGCTATTAGACCACTTCAACTTGCCTTGTGGCACACAAAACCTATTCAAAAGCATAAAATTGAAGTCGGGTAGGTTAAACAGTCTCCAGCAGATGCATACGACGATGATAAGCTCCGCTGATCTCCGCAAGAAGAAGAAGCGACGGCCGAAGCTCGCACCGCGATACGCGCTCAAAGAAGACAAGAAAGATGACAAAGCAGAGAATCGTGTACTAAATTTACAGCAGGCTGAGCTCGTTCGTGAGGTTTTCACGTCTGCGACGTGCCGTTGCTTCGTGCTCAAGTCGTTCAGCGAGATTAATTTCCACAAAAGCCTCAAATTCGGCATCTGGAGCACCACTACACTGCACAATGCGCTGCTGGATCAAGTATTTAAAAGTGACTTGACTGCAGTGAGGCCAGTTTTATTCTTCTTCAGGTTAATAACTTATTTTTTATCAGGTCATTAGTTTTTTTTTTTAACTGACCTGTTGACAGTGTATGTGGCACCAAACACTTTAATGGAGTGGCCCGTATGACATCGGGAGTGCGGACGGATGTGCAATTCCAGCTATGGGAGAAACTCAAGTACGAGGGATTCTTCCATGTCGAGTGGCTGCTGGTCAAAGATGTGCCCAATTACGTCTTCACTAGTGTTAAAATGAGCAACACGCCTACAAAGAAGTCCATTACGTCGTGTCGAGACTGTGAAGAGGTGCTGTTTGAAGAGGTGAGCTGGATTTTTGGGTACATTGACGCGAGTTGAGCTGGTAATTGAGTCGTGTTCCTGCTTAGGCCAATGAATTTCTGTCCATTTTCACCGAGTTCGATAGCCGCTCAAGCGCTTGGGACGATTTTGAACACTACGACCAACTTCAAGAGCAGATCGAGCGCAAACGCGGATTAACCTTGTCCAAAGATGCTGATAAGACAGATCTAGAGACGTTCATTGTACCTCTGCAACAGGAAGAAGCAGCAATCCGAGCGCCATTGTAGATATCAAGCGATACCAGTTTTGCTCACTTGTTCTTGCTCTTAAAAATGTCAGATAGGTCTTTTGCTCGTGTTTTTCCGTTCATCCATGTCCATGACAGGCATGCGTATCCTGTCTACGTCCTCCTTCAGCTTACACACTTGAGTCATGAGAAGATCCTGTCGACGAGTGGCTTCTTCGAGCAGAGAAGTGATTTCACCGATCATGATCGACATGACGGGGCTGATTCCAACCGATCCAGTGTTGCCAGAACTTCGACGCACGTTGCTGTTAATACGAACCGAGGTTGGTGCGCGGATATGGGTTGTGAGTCGTTCTGAAGGCCGTTGCTCCAAGGGCAACCGCGCAGCCGATAAATGGCGAGCAAATGTGGGGGATTTCGGGGCAGCAGTCGGCATCGGTGCTACTGCACTCCCGTTTGCAGTCGGCGGTTTTGCAGCTTTGAAGGAATTTTGCTCCGGCTTCAGTGTTGGCGACGACAAGGAGAACGCTGCTGCGGCAGCCATGAGGTTGTTCCCAATGGACTTTTTCTTCTGCTTTTCATTGCTTGGATCAAAATCCACAGCTGCAGCACGACCCTGTGCGATCTGCGCCATCTTCGACTGCATCGCTGGAAACAGGGCCAAGGCCTCAAGAAATCGAGCGCGTGAGAGCATTCGTAGCTCACAGAAGCACAGTGTCCGCACAGTTGCTGTTCTGCGGTTATCGGGACTCAAGATGGCCATCTCGCCAAAGTATTGATTCTCGCCCAGGATTCCAATGCGCACGTTCTTCTTGACAACTTCCACAGCACCACGGAAGATGAAGAACATTTCGTGACCAATTTCCCCCTCGATAATTGCGTCTTCGAGTGGAGCGAAATGGATTACGCGCATGTTTAGTGCGAGCTCCATAAGAAAATTTGGTTCACTGCCAGTGAAAAATGGGAACTTTCGCAAAAATTGGTCGTTGATACTCAACGCGATTTTTGAACGTAATTTTGATGATAGATCGTTCAGAATCTGCTGTTCAGAGTTCAGTTTACTCTCGCGGGATTGTCGTGTGTTATGGTAGAACTCTCGAATCTCCATGCGAAGCTTTACCGGCAGCTCACGTGCAGTCATATACTCATTCACCTCATCCAGCTTTTGTCGAAAAACGGTTTCTTGAATCGTTAGGCTTGATACGAGCTCTACAATCTAAGCAGAACAAAAAAATAGTGGTGAAAAAATAAGTGTTTTGAACTCGAAAATTGAACTTACATTGGTAATTCCGTAGGCGAAAATGCCTCCGCCGACAATCATTGCAAACACACAAAACAGGCGCTCGTGTGCGCTCTGTGAGGCCACGTCGCCGAATCCGATCGTAGATCTGCGAATACACAAGTACTCGTAAGCTTTGTGATAAAATGAAATACGCAATGTTCTTACAGTGTCTGGACTGAGAAATATAGCGCAGCGACGTAGCGATCCCACTTGTTAGCGTTTGGCTCTTCTAGACCTTGGGCTCTGATCCAGCTCTCCTCGATGTCTGATGATCCGATAGCATGAAAGATACAGCTGAACCAGTGGTTGATAAAGATGACCATGAGGCAATATTTCATGAGTGAACTGAGAGTAGATCGAATGAAAACAGCGTTCTGAATGCGTCGTAGAATGCGCGAAATGCGGAGTAGTCGAAGTAGTCGAATGAGTCGCAGCAATTTGACTGATTTCCTCAGAGTCGCACTGTAGTGGCCATCTTCAGTGAAGATGTAGCCGTAGGGCAGAGCAGCGATTAGATCAATAGCAAACCACGTCTTGAGGTATGTCTCTGCTACCAGTCGACGATTGTATCGAATGGAGCCATCTTTCTCGACAGCCGTATTAAACGTCAAGATCTACCAACAAAAGCCACAGTTAGTGTGTCTTCAAAGCTTGTTACGGTTCAAATTATCACCATACAATGTCGATAAGAAAAAATACATCTAGCACTGTCTCGAAGGGATTGTCCTTGGCCTCCACAGCAAAAGTTGCCTTAAACTACAGGAATAGCCATTAGAATGAATACAAAGCTACAATTCGATGCTCTCACTTACCGGTAATACAAGAGCGTTGTAGAATATAAAGCTGATGCTCGTAAGGTCCCAAAAGAGCCGAAAGCGACCAAGAGGGTCTATCATTCGAGGTGTTGGACGTCCGAGATCTTCCTTACCACGGATTGTGCGGTCGGTGTGAGGCGCTGCATGCTGTGGCGATGGGGCCTTCTTCTTTATCGTGATCCCGGCAGCTTTTCGCAGTTCTTCACGTTCAGTCGCATCGTCCTTTTGTGGCAGTACTTTTTCAGTTGGAGACGAGTTCTTCTCCTCTTCTTCATCGTCTTCTTCTTCCTCTTGATGCACCACGTCCATGCCATCTTCCGTAATATATAAACCATCATCTCCTAGCATTGTAGCTTGCACTTTTTGGTAGTTTTCGTACTCTTCTCCAGGTGAAAGGGTCATGCCGATACCACGTTTTTTACTAGGACTCGAAGCCTCCGCTGCGCCGGCGGCAGCGGCATCAGTAGGAACTCCTGCGGCCATTAAAGTACTCGTGATCTGCTGGGCAAATTGTGTACGACGTCGCAATCGAGAATAGTAGAAAGCATCAAGATCTAAGTCCTACAACACATTCAAATTTATTAGAACTCGAAATGTTTCATATTGCAAGGCTTGTATTCTTACCATTTCTGTTGGTGATGGCTTGGCCGTATCAATCATGTGCAGCAATTGTGCTGAGCCCTTCCGCACTAATTGCTAGTGGAGAAAAACACAAGCAAACTTGTCAAGAGATGAGTTTAAACCTTGAAGTTGTTGCTCGCTCACCTTTGCGTTTTCGAGTGAAGACTTTCTCCGATCAGTAGCATCATTACGCGGCGAGGTTTCTTCGAGCTTGCCGTCCATAATTGCTCGTCACGCTCCCCACCGATAAAATAATGAAAAGAGGATGCAGTTCGTGATGATGTTGCAGTCGACTCGCACTCTAATCGCCCAAGTGTCATTAAACCAAACAGCGATTTATAACGGCACATCGTCCTGGCCGCCTGAAAATAAAATGAAACCTCCGATCAATGCCAAACACGAAGGCAAAACGACCATCATACAGTTAATTGAAGCACCAACTGGATTGCACTCATCATTTGCAGACTTCTTCAATTCAAGTCTCCTTATCTAAGCGTAGTACTGCAGAGTGGCCTTCTTCTTGGCCGCTACAACCGAAATGCCCTCCATAAAGTCCTCGTGCTTAATCACATTGCTCTCACGACGCAGAGCAAGCATACCAGCCTCAACGCACACCTAAAAACATCCAAGAGCATTAAATCAAGAGAGTCGCGGAATAAAATAAACTGCTGAACAATGCTGACATACCGCCTTCAGCTGTGCACCGTTGAAGTCGTCGGTGGAACGCGCCAGTTCATCGAAGTTGGTATCTGCAAGAATTTTAAAATCAATCAGATGAATCTCAAAAGATCACAAGAGACATTTTTCGCTTACCTTCCGTGTCGACGTTCATCTTACGGGAGTGGATCTGCAAGATACGAGCGCGAGCCTCTTCAGTCGGATGCGGCAGCTCAATCTACACAAAAGAACAATTAATCATCAACTTCATCTCTTTTTCAAAAGCTGATCTTGTACAAACCTTGCGATCCAGACGTCCAGAACGAAGAAGAGCAGGGTCCAGCACATCAGGACGGTTCGTGGCAGCGATGACCTTGATCTTTGTGTTGCTCGTGAAGCCATCCAGTTGGTTCAGTAGCTCCAGCATCGTACGTTGCACCTCTCGATCCCCAGACTGTTCTCCACCGAATCGCTTGGTACCAATAGCATCCAACTACAATAAAAAAAAAGAAATTAAACACCATTAAAATAAAACATCCACAAGACTCACGTCCTCACAAAAGCCTCACCTCATCAATAAAGATAATAGCTCCACCTCTGTTTTGGTCCTTGCATTTCTCCTTGGCCAATTCGAATGCGTCTCGCACTAACTTAGCACCATCACCGATGAACATTTGCACCAGCTGTGGAGCAGCCAGCTTCAAGAAGATCGCGTCAGTCTGCTTGGCACACGCTCGAGCCAGCAGCGTCTTGCCCGTTCCAGGAGGTCCGTGGAGCAGCACACCCTTCGGAGGCGAAATGCCGATAGCCTCGAACCTCTCCTTATGCGTCATAGGCAGCACCACAGCCTCTACAAGTTCCTGGATCTGCTTATCCAGTCCACCAATGTCACTGTACTCCTCTGTAGGCTTCTCGTCCACCTCCATCGCCTTCACACGCGAGTCATACTCACTCGGTAGCTTTTCTAAGATGAGATAACTGTCCTTATTGACTCCCACGAGGTCGTTAGGGATCAGTGTGGTCGAGTCCACGAGGCCAGGGATGGGCAGGAAGATGGTCTGACGAGTGCTCGTCTTGATGACGGCGCTCTTGCCTTTACGTGCGGCATCCACGTCCGTCGCAGCGCCGTCCTGCTCGTCCTCGTCGTCTTCGAGCTCTAGAACCTCAACCACGTTGGCTACAAGGTACGGCAGCTGCTTATTGAGCTTCACCTTCTCGTTGTTCTCCTTAATTCGTTCACGCTGCGAGTTACTCTCGTGGTTAATGCGCTGGATGTCGCTACGCATGATGCGGATATCATTGTCCAGCAGACGGATGCGCTGTCGGAGCTCCTCGTTCGACATGAGCAGGATCTCCGGGTCCAGGCCCTCATCCGCGCCCCAGATCTCCGACGACTCTAACCCGCTCATACTGCACTTCGTTCGCTAAAATGGAGATCCTCCCCCTAAACGAAAAGATACTGGTCACTAATTGGTTGAAAACAAACAAATGAGAACATATAATTGGTGGAAAATATATTCAGACCGATATACCGG